TATGGTGTGAAGGCAGGGTGGTGGTGGTCCACAGGTTGAGCTGGGGGTTAACTTTTTTAAATGGCATATTTTTAAAACTACTCATTTTATGCTTGATATAGATTTAGTGTTTACCTTTTCCTAACATATAGGCAAGCAGTAGTTATTGCTTTGTTGGTAAAAGTTGGCGTTATTTCTGAAAAGCATACATGGGAATGGCAAACTGTAGAAGCTGTGGCTACAGGACTCCAGGTAAGTAGTGCTATCTCTGAATTCAATAGAACTTTACTATTTTGTTAAGCATTTTTACTTATTATCTCCACTAAACCTGACAACATGCAGGATTTAGGATTACTATTATCCTCCCTTTACAGGTGAGAAAACAAGGGAACCCTAGAGAAACTGGCCATAATTACTGCTTTGTAGCAGAGCCAGGAATAAAATCTGGATTTTGTGATTCCTAGTCCATTTCTCCTCTTAGTCCTTGGGTGGTGGATTGAGAATGCAATGTACTTTGCTTTTTAAGAAATACTTCAAGTAGTTCAACATAGATTTAAATTTGGGCATTTTGTCTTTTTTTGAAGAGGTCAAAAATAATTATTTTAGAAAATGGAAAAATGAATATAACTTGAAAAGGAAAATAACAGCTGTCTAAACTTTAGGACTTTTGAAAAGTACCTGGAGAAAGATAGCACTCTACAAAATTAAATTCAAATCCAAAGATGGCTGATATTTTTGTTTTTATAGGACTTTATAATCTGTATTGAGATGTTCCTTGCTGCTATTGCTCATCACTACACTTTCTCATACAAACCATATGTCCAAGAAGCAGAAGAGGGCTCATGCTTTGATTCCTTTCTTGCTATGTGGGATGTGTCAGATATTAGAGATGATATTTCTGAACAAGTAAGGCATGTTGGTAAGTACTAGCCATTTAATTCATCTAAATAGATAGGTTATTGAATTTCTCCTACTAGGGCAATTTAGTAGCTATTTAAGATAAAAAAGACTGTTTAAAGTAGTATCATAGTACAGGCTTATCAAATTTGGGGGGTGAGATAGAGGGAAGTGGGGAGCTTATTTTTAGAATGGTAAGTTTATAATGGTGAAAATAACTTTTGACTAACATGAAAACCTTTATATTACTCTAAAGGACGGACAGTCAGGGGACATCCTAGGAAAAAATTATTTCCCGAGGATCAAGATCAAAATGAACATACAAGCTTGTTATCATCATCATCACAAGATGCAATTTCCATTGCCTCTTCTATGCCATCTTCACCCGTGGGTCACTACCAAGGGTTTGGACACACTGTGACTCCCCAGACGACACCTACTACAGCTAAGATATCTGATGAAATATTTAATGATACTACAGGAGAAAAAAAAGAAGCTTCAGATAAATCCGTGGACTCATGAATAGCGTGCAAAAGCAAACTGTGCTACTACCATATTATATTATTACCTGGTATCCCATGGCTCAGGATTTTGTGCGTGGGACAAACCACAAATTATGGAAAGTTTTAACACAAAAATAGGTGAAAACCAGGTACAATGACTGGGTTTATATATGTAAGTTTTGTATATCAAAAATAATCAGTCTAAATTTCCTAGGCTTAGACTTGATTTCTTAACATTAGAGTATCACATACTCAAATGGCAGAAAATGACTCCAACTAAATGATGCTGATGTTACACTGCTTTATCAAGAGGATGGACATTTAAAAAAAAATCAGTACCTCCTATCACTGCTGCATGAATATTATGCTCTGGAATTAACAGTAAGCATAATACAGAAATATGAATTAGTGGAACTTAATCATAATCATGTGCCATACAAATTACCTAACAATTATTTCTCTATTTCTCAGCTGGATGTCTTTCAATAAATAAGAATTTATCATTTATTTTCTGTAACTTTTTATGTCTCTCATTCTTTAAACATAAACCCAAACCCTTAATGTTTTAACAAAAACTTCTTGATAAGAGGCACAGCAAAAGAGAAGTCAAAAAAAAATTACTATTAATACTTT